AAATGTTCAAAGAGATTGTAATGAATTTTGATGTAAAATGTTTTTGTTTTTGGTAGAATTGGTTGACGACGTACAAAGAAATTGAAATCGGAAAGTAACGGTAACCGCCAAACACAGTTTAGTTACGTTGTGGAGTACACGCGTCAAACGTAGAGGCATTTTAGTCAATAGACTATTATTTTATTTTATTTATTTTAATTAATACACAACTATAATTAAAAAAATTTTAAGTCCATAATCTAAATAAAATAAAAATTCTAAATGATGTAATATGATACTGTTGACCCAAAATAGCAAGCCAAGTTTGTTAGCAATAATAGATAGGTGGCCAAAAAAAAAATCAACTCTTTAATTTAATGATTAAAATTTTTTTAAAAAGACCTAAATTTTTAAATTCAAATTATTTTTTTTTTAATTTTTCATAAGTTATAAAAAAATCATTTAGTCATCAATCATTTTAGTTATAAATTGTCCCAATTAAGAAGCTAATTTTTTATATTTAAATTTTAAAATTGACTAAGCATAGTATTTAACCATTTAAATTATGAAAAATCTAGTTTGATTTATTAAAATGAAAAATAAAAATTAAAAGTGATTTAAGTCGAAATTATTGAACTTGATTAACTCAATTATCATCACAAAGAGATCCTTTAATCAATTTGATTGATTAAAGTTGTAAGGAAAGCTAATATGATTTTAAGGATGGCAAAAAGATCTAAAAAATATTTCGAATAAAATTTAATAATTATTTAAATTTATTAATATTTTATTATAATCAATTAAATTTTAAAATTTTTTATTTCAATTCAATTAAAATTTTAAACATTTATTTTTACTCAATTAAATTTTTAAAATATATATCTTTACCTCGATTGATATTAATGGTTAACTAATTTTTAATATTCAATTGATAAAAATAAATATTTAATAAATTAATTAATTATAATAAATCGATAAAAACTTTGATAATTATTAAATTTTTTCTCAAAAGTTTTTTTAACCCATTAGCCTTTAATGATTTTATGACCATCCATTAAAGTCCGAAGTGTTTCACGTGACCTAAATCTTTTCCTGTAGAAAAGAATGGTTTCTAGTCAATGATGATGATAGTCTTTGCACGGGATTAAAGAGGCAGAACCAATTTACCAAAGGAACTAATCTAATAGGGCAGTGTCAAGAAAGTTCTGGAAAATTTTGTTTACTTTTGTCAAAATTAAATGGCTTTTCTTTTTCTTTTTTATCAGCTTTTTACAGTTCATTATAATTTAAGCGTCAAATGCAATGGGAGATTGTTGAGATATTCACATATAATATATATATATGTATATATAATTATTAATGAATTTATTAATTTTATTAATAAAGAATGTGTTTAGAAAAAATTATTAATTTTGTTATTTTTAAAATTTTTGAAAAATATAATTTAAATTATCAAATATTATATTTTAAAAATAATTATCTAAATCAATTTAATTAAATTTTGAATTCACATAAAAATAGTTTAATTAACAATATTTGAATTGTTTAAGTTAAACAATTAAGATACAACCAAACAAAGCTTTAGAGGTAAATTTGATAATTTAAAACATAATATGATAATAAAATATGAAATAATACAAATAAAAGATATAAAAATTACATATATTAAAATTTTAAAAAATCATAAATAAATTTAATAAAATCAAAAAATTATATTATATATTTTCGTGTCTACTTAAATGATAATATATAATTTTTACATAAAATATAATATAAATTAATATTTTGTATGATAACATGAATTATTAGATTTAATACGAGAAAATTAGTATAATACCAGAAATTGATCATAATTAAGTTCATAAATTCCTCTCGATGGCTCCCACAGCCCCAAAAAATCTCAATCTAGTGAACAAAAGTAAACAAAACTAGATTCTTGGCAGCTTAGTGGAGATTTTGTCGTCCTCAACTGCAACTTTGTTAAACTGTCAAATTACACAATTGTTTGTAATTTTCAATGGTATTAACCCAACCCATCTGCCAGGGATTGCAATACTAATGATCCTTTGAACATGTTCATCTTGCTTATAAGTCTTGGTTGCTTCAATTTGTTACATTTACATATTTGATTATTTATTTATATTTTATTTTTTATTTCTAAAAGTGAATATCTGAATTAAAAATATTTATGGATTAAATTGAGTCGGATATAAATCAAATTCATACTTATATTAATAATTTATATACTTGTTCAAATAAAATTCGACTCAAAATTTTAAATTTTAAATTTTTTTAAAATTTGATACAAATTAAAAAAAATAAATTCACTAATTAAATTTAATTTATATAATAAAAAACTTAAAATACAATTAAATTTAATAAAATTTAATTTAATTCATATATTATAAATTCGTTATAAATGAATTTAATAGAATTATAAAAAGTGTAATTAAATTAAAAAAATATAATTAAATTTAATTTAATAAAAATATATTTAAATAAATTTAAAATTTAAATATATATTTATTTTATGAATTTTAATTTTTTATATAAACTTTCTCTTAATAAATTTTCGAATTTAAATGAATAATTCTAGGATTGATTTAAATTCACTCCAAATTAAAATGGTAAATATATATATATATATAAATATATGTGCTTTTTTGGTGAGTGGACTAGCAATAATAGTCCTGAAAAATGGTACTGTACCTTTGGATGCAGCCTTTTTGCCCTTTTCATGCAAGTTGCCCGCCTTCAAAATTTACTGTCCCTCCCTGACCTAAAAGGATCATAACCGCTTGTCTATAGCTAAGGGAAGGTAGATCCTATGTTCTCAGGGCGCCAGCACCAACAAGTCAGACTTTTCTATAATAATATAATTATTTTTTTATAATACCGTCAAGATTTAATTTTTCAAGTATTTTGAATTTTATTTTTCTTTTCAAATGATTTTAATAATGCGTTGTTTTCAGCACAATTTTTATAGTTCTGAAAATTAAAATTAAATTTGATAATTTATATATTTATTTATGTAAAATATTAAAATTTATATAATTATATAATATTTTTAAAAAATTATATGTTATAATTTATATTGATATAAAAATATAAAATATAAAATTTTAATTTTTAATTTAATTTATATATAATAATTATTTAAAATTTAAATAATATTATTTTAATTTTTTATTATAATTATATTATATTATTATATCATATTTTAAATTATTAAATTTAATCAACATATAATATATTTGATTTTTTTTTTAATTTTCCTACCGTCGGGCAAATAAAAAATATATAGATATTTAAGTTAATTATTTTATCCTGTAGTAGAAATGAAAGTGACATTTAAAAATAAAAAACTGATTGGATAATGTTGAAAGGCTACGTCTAAATCTAAACGTAAAACTTTTGACTTTTTTATCCATAAAAAATGTTTAATTTGAGAACAAAACATTATAAATGTTAAAATTTTTAATTTCATTTTCATTTAATGGCATGTGCTTTGATTACACAACGAAGATTGGTTTTATCTTTACTTGAGTCCAAACAATAATGAATAGGCTAATTTGTCTTTTTAAATACATTTTTGTCTTATAAGATAAATTCATCTTTGGATTCAATTAAAAAAAAATTTAGAATTTCAAGTTCAATTTAATTAATTAAAATAATTATATTTAAAGGATTCCATGAGTGATTAGTAAGTATATTTGGAAAAAAAAAATGGATTTGTTTTAATGACAACTTGTATCTTATAATAATACATTTAAAACTACATGAACACATCATTTAAAGCTCTTTGAAAATATCTTGATTTTAATTTAGAATCTATAAAAGTAATAAAATATTTAAATTATTTAATATTTGAATCTCAATATTATAATTTAATTTTTTTATATCAAATTACATCATTTTTATAAAAAAAGTGAAAATTGAAAATATCTTGATTTATTTACAATAAAAACATGATTTGGAATTATTTTTTTGGGTTCTAAAATTAATTTTTTAAAAAATAGAAAACCCATTATTCTTCAAATTATTTTAAAGAGGTTTATGCTATATAAATATATATAGTGTGTGTGAATTATTATTATTATTATTATTATTATATTTAAAAAATATGATTGCAAAGGGACAAATCCATAAACATGGTTGGCTACAACATGGGAATGCCAATCCAAAAACTTTAAATATTTTAATTTCTTTTTAGTCCATGAAAATGACTTTGCATAATTCAGTCATCGGAACAATTTAGTACGGACAACTTTTTATTTTTTTTTTTAAATATTGCCCAATAATAATAATACTATGTAGGCGTGGTAGTGCAAAAAAGGCCAAAAAAAAAAAAAAAAAGAAAAGAAAAGAGTGTTTGGACTCAATTATTGTGCATTTTACAAGTCAAATTTGCAAACTTCAGCTACCATTACCATATATTAGTGTTTTATTTTCCAAAATAAAAATTTTTTTTATTGAGTTACTGAAAATAAAAAATAAAAGTTACAGCTTTTTCAAATTAATTTAAATAAAAAATAATAGTTTTTAGTACCTTATAAATCTCTCGATTTTTTAAGATTTGAATAAAAATTTTTTCCAAAAACTTTCTAAATTAGGGGATATTTAATTAAATACATAAATAAAATTCATATTTTGATATTTTTAAGTATCGAGATTATTAAAATTGAGTTTTGATCATAAAATTATGAGTATTCATTGAGATTTTTAAAAGATAAAAAATTTGATAATTTTATATACGATGATAATGATATAATATAAAAATAATATAAAAAATATATTTAAAAATTTAATATAAATTATATATAAATTTAATAAAAATTAAAAATATATTTTATATTTGATATTTCAATACAAATTATTTCAATTTTTATATTTTAAAAAAATAAAAAAATATAATAGAAATATACAAACTATTATATATTTAAATAAAAAATAAAAAAAATAAAAAAATATTGTTTTACGCTTGTAATAATGATATATGTACACTAATGAAAACGTAAACTGTTTTTAGACCTTTCCTCCTTTTCTTTTTCTTTCAATTTTCTTTCTTCGCCTTGATCATTAATGGTAAAAGACTTTCCTTTTTCTTTTATAAATATTTCCTCTCTCTTCAACATGGCTTGAAAAGAACCCGCACCCTTCAAATATATGCATATATATTTATCTCTCTCTCTCTCTCAAAACTGAACTCTCTTTTTTCTTCTCTCTCTTTCTCAAAGAAAAAACAATAAAAAAACCCTTTGGTTTCATAGAAAAGCCCCTTCCCCAGGATCTACTCTGTTGAAACTCAGACTGAGATAGAGATTGCAGAGAAAAGGATAGCAGATAAGCTTCAGAAAACAACCTTCTCATAAGCTTTTCTATAAGGTAAAACCTAAATACTTCTTTACCATTCCAAAACCCTAATCTGATATTAGTTTTTTTAGCTTTGGGTAGCTTTTATTTGTTTTTTGTTGTTGTTTTTTTAAGTTTTGGCTTTCTGGGTTTTCTTCCTTTATGTGTAATCTACCTTGAAATTTGTGCAAAGTGGGGTTTTTTTTTTTAAGCTCTTGAGCTGAATCAGATCCATGAAACTTGATTTTTAGTTTAGTTTTCTGAGTGTTAAGTTCATGTTGGGGAGTTTTTTTGGGTGGGGTTTTGCACTTTTGCTTGCTTTGTGATGTTTTAGAATATCTGAGCTGGTTTTTTAAGTTAAGTTTTTATTTTGCATTTTTCATGTGGGAGATTTTTGAGGTTTGTGGTTTTGGATGGAGCCGTTAGTAGATTCTTTGTTTTGGTTTGTTTTATTTTGTGTGCTGATCTTTATTACTATTGATTAGCATTAATGGTGAAACTTAGATTAGAAATTGAAATCGTGATGGTGTTGAATGTTTGCCCGGTTGAGTTAATTCACACTGTACTTTTTGTGAATAAATTACTTTACCAGTTGGTGAAACTTATGAAGTTCACTGTATGTGGACTCTGATGATTTTGTCTATGGATTTGGAAGATGTGTTGTTTAAATCTGTTCATCGTGATCTTATACCATAATTTGGTTGTAATTAATTTTAGATGTTGATTTGGAACTTTGATTTCTTTGTCTTGTATTTATGTTCAAAGGATTGATGGTAGGTTATCCAGTGTGACTGATTTGAATCAAGGTTTTACTTTGCAGGTGCCTTTGGAGGAGTAATTTGTTTTATTATTTGTTGTTCTTCTTTTGGACTGCGGCTGAGAGCATCCCATTTTTTGCTGATTCAAGTTATTGGTAGAAATCTGGCATGAGTTGGAATAATCAACTATTTGCATCTAGGAGATGAGTGGGGAATTGCATAGGGTCTCAGCAATACTGTTTTAGTGAATTGGATTGCAAGTGATAGATTGGCATCTCATGATTGCAGCTGGGGCTGGAATGTTGATGTGTTAGCAGTCACCATAGCAGTAATTCTGGGAAAGTGCATTTTAAATGCCCATCGGTCCTGCTGTGCGAGGGCTGTGGTTAGATGTACATTCCTTTTCTAGCAAGCCTTGGAGAAAATGGCTGGACTGTTTGCTTTCTCTTGTTAAGTCGTGTTTAGTCAAAGAAGTTGCTGATGTCCTGCTGAATGTCTTTTGATATGTATCATCACTCCTCAGGAGATGCAGTCGCTGTGAGCAACCATGTAATTGTGTAGCTTGTTGAGCATTGGAAGTTGTTTTGCTATTCTGAAGAGTTTTTTAGATTCTGTACTACGCTGGAATTTGTATATTATCTAAATTTCTACTTAACAACATGGAGGCTGAGACAGGGAATGGTAACCACCAACCAGGTGTTCTTCATCGGATGCTTCCTGCTGTTCTACCTGTTCTTCTAATATCAATTGGATATATTGACCCTGGAAAGTGGGTTGCAACTGTTGAAGGAGGTGCACGTTTTGGTTTTGATCTGGTAGCCCCCATGCTTCTTTTTAATTTTGCCGCCATTTTGTGTCAATACATGTCAGCTCGAATTGGTGTAGTCACTGGAAGAGATCTTGCTCAGGTACAGTTCATTCTTTTTGTTCTTGTGCTTATTACAAGATTAATTTCGCTTTTTTTTTTTTTTTGGCTGTATGATTGTTTCGTGCAATTATATCTCTTATAAAGGGGAGAGAGAGAGAGAGAGAGAGAGTGCCAACCATTCAGTATTGATTGCAACAAAAAATCTGGGACATCATAATGAAAAAATATTGGAGAAAATAAATGCAGAAGATAGAGCCAAATTGATTCCTTTTAATTATAAAACATAAGAGTTGTTCCATTTATAAAAGACAATTTCATAGACAGCCTTATATCCTTGTCCGCCTACTTATAGAAGTGTACAAAAAATAAAAAAAAAAGGTAATTATATTTTGCATATATAATTTATTTTATCTGTTTGCCACCTAGATTAAGAAGCAGTAGAGCTCCTTTTTTATGAATGAATGCTTATTTTATCTATAATTAGGTGCTTAATCTATAGTCAGGGATGTTTATGTGCATAAATGTGTGTGTGACTGTGTGTGTGTTTTTGTGGATATCTTTTTTGCTCTTTTCATGGTACTTATATATATTTTTAATTTTCCTGTTGATGATAGATTTGCAGCGATGAGTATGAGAAGCCCACTCAAATATTCTTAGGAGTTGAAGCAGAGCTTTCTGTGATTGTATTGGACCTTACCATGGTAATTTTCTTATTAATGAGCTTCTATAATGCTTGGATGCCTTTTCCAAATTATGATGGACTAAGGCAGCTATAATTTGTGATTTGCACTTTATAGAGTGATATTGTTCTATCCTGGCAACAAATGTCTTTATTTTACCAGGTTTTGGGTGTTGCACATGGGATTAATCTTCTCTTCGGGGTGGATCTGTCCACGGGTGTTTTTTTAGCTTCTCTTGATGCTGTTTTATTCCCTGTTTTTGCCACTCTCCTGGTAAGCTGATCTGCTTCTTTTATTGCTCAATCTCTCTCTTGCAAAATGATCAACAGTCTAATAAGTTTTCAATAATTAGGATCACTGCCGGGCAAGTTTCCTATGCATATATGCAGCGGGTTTCATATTGCTTTCTTATGTTTTTGGAGTGCTCATTAGTCAACCAGAAATTTCTCTTCCCATGACTGGGATGCTAACAAAGTTGAGCACAGAGAGTGCATTTGCCTTGATGAGTCTCCTTGGAGCAAGCATCATGCCTCACAATTTTTATCTACATTCTTCTATTGTTCAGGTATCTCTCATTGGACCGCATATATGCGTATATGTACATGATTCTTGTGTATGCACGTCTTATTTTGGTCTTCAGGATTGGGAATCTGATATTGTTTGGAAATTTCTTTTCACTAAAGAACCTGATTTTTTTTTTTGACAAAACTTGGGTTTTAGAAGCCTTTTTAGAATCTTTGCACATGTTGATGTTTGTATATGTTCTTAACTCATGTCATCGATGAACATGTATAAATTTTTTATCGTGCTTGATTTTTTTTAGTTTTAATCATTCAGCTAAACTGAAGTTTAAGTTTGGCAAAGATTTATTTTTATATTGAGATGATAAAACTAGTGAGAAATTCATATCCAACTTCAGTATATGTCTGCTGTAAAGATGTTGCTATCCTCCTGAACTGTTATCAGGACCTGTTTCAAATAACCTATTAGTGGGCATTTATGTGAGACGAGATCATAATGATACATATGATATGCCGGTTGTTGATTCTGGCTTAAATTAATATTTAAGTTGATTTCCCCTTGTCAATTTATATACCTTTTTTTCTTGCCTAATAGAAATATATAACTTTTCAGTCTTCTTGTTATCATTATTGCTTTAGCCTGAATTTCTTGCATGGCAGCATGTTAAGAATATGTGAATTGCATTTCTACTAATGTATTTCAAAATAATTGGTATCACGATTTTCTTCCAGTTTTCTTTCTTCCTGTTTGCCAAAATCACTTTTCACTAGATCATTTTGCTACTGGATTGCCCATTGTTTGCTGGTACTTTTTTGGAGTTTTTGCTGCTCTTACATGATAGAAATTTCTTCTTACACCTTTCTCAAATGTAGAGTAGCTTGAAGTTCATTACACCATGGTTAAATTTCAAACTGTGAGACAAATTATTGCACCTTATCTATTTAACGATTGCAAATTCATTTGGTTCTGTTTTATGCTTATGCGCTCTTTTAGCGGTTTTAAGTTTTGATGCAATCATTGTCTACCTTCTGAAGTTTTGTTCTCATGTTCACAGCAGCATCAAGGACCGCCAAATATTTCTAAGAGTGCCTTATGCCACAACCATTTTTTGGCCATCTTATGCGTCTTCAGTGGTATTTATCTAGTAAGTTACGTGCTGATGAATTCAGCTGCAAATGTGTTCTGCAGTGCAGGCCTTGTCTTAGTTACTTTTCAAGATGCAATATCACTAATGGAACAGGTTTTTCCTCTTTTCTTATAAGCTATTGATTATGATGGCTTTTAGAAATCATGCCTAAATTTTTCTCAACACTCAATATAATGTTCTATATGTGGATATTAATAAACTACATTTAAAAATTTATTAAAACAGGTGTCCAGGAATGGTCTACTGCCCTTAGTCTTTTTGCTGGTTATGTTCTTAACTAATCAAATTACTGCGTCAACCTGGAATCTTGGTGGGCAAGTTGTCTTGCACGATTTCCTTGGGCTTGACATACCAGGTTGGCTTCATCGTGCAACAATCAGAATTATTGCAATGGTCCCAGCTCTTTATTGTGTGTGGACTTCTGGAGCTGAAGGGATATATCAGTTGCTTATCTTATCTCAGGTCATAATAGCTCTTATGCTTCCATCTTCAGTGATCCCCCTGTTTCGGATTGCTTCATCAAGACCAATAATGGGTGTCTATAAGATTTCTCCAATTGTGGAATTCCTAGCGCTGGTAACATTCATGGGGATGCTGGGCTTAAAGATAATTTTTGTTGTAGAAATGATATTTGGGAATAGTGATTGGGTGGGTAATTTTGGATTGAATACTGGCATGAACATTTCTGTTCCTTTTGTTGTTCTTCTTGTAACTGCTTGTGCAGCATTTTCTTTGATGCTTTGGCTAGCAGCTACTCCTTTAAAATCTGCTAGTTCCAGACATGAAGCTCATGCATGGAACTGGGATTTGAGTAGAACTGTTCCTGAGGCAGCTATGGAGAGGGAGGAAAATGATTTAAGTGAAACCAGTTATCATGGAGAGGAACCTGCTCATATGCTGGAAAGACCATCAACACCAGAAAAGTCTATTGAGAGTCTTTCAGATTTATCTTTTCCAAATTATGATCTGGATTTGCCTGAAACAATACAGGAGTCTGACCAGGATATACATTTGACTACTGTTAATGAGAACTCTTCTAATATTATATATCCTACTCCCTCAGTTTGTAACACCCAGGAATCAGCTTCAACTGTAGTTAATGAGGTAGCAGATCATGATTTACCTGGCATTAAAACTCTGAAGATTGAATCGATGAAGCCTGTGGAGAAAACAGTGAGTTTAGAGGGAGACCTGCAGATTGAAAAAGATGATGATGATGGAGATACTTGGGAGCATGAAGAGCCATCCAAACCTCCTTCTGGAAGTATTTCCTCTTTGACACCAGATGGCCCTCCTTCATTCAGGAGCCTCAGTGGGAAAAGTGATGACAGTGGGAATGGTACCGGGAGTCTCTCTAGATTAGCAGGATTAGGGCGTGCTGCAAGGCGTCAATTAGCTGCCATTCTTGATGAATTTTGGGGGCAATTGTATGATTTTCATGGACAACCTACCCAAGAAGCAAAGGTGAAGAAACTAGATGTATTATTAGGTGCTGATCCAAAGCCACTAAAAGTGGATACTACTGGGAAGGAATATTGTGGGTATTTCCCTTCGATAGGGGGAAGAGGATCTGATGCGCTTATCACTTCTAGTCTGTATGACTCTCCAAAGCAAGTGAAGGTGCAAAATACTATCGATTCATCGTATGGGTGTTCAAGAGGTTCTTCTTCCTTGTGGTCAAATCACGTGCAGTTATTGGATGCGTATGTTCAAAATTCGAGCCGTAATGTTGATTCTGGTGAAAGGAGGTACTCTAGTTTGCGTGCTGCACCCTCTACTGGTGCATGGGATTATCAACCAGCTACAGTGCATGGATATCAGATTGCGTCCTATTTCAATCGATTTGCCAAGGATAGAAGCTCCGATAGCTTGAATGGTCAAATGGAGTTACAAGCATCGAAATCTCCTGCCCTGGACCCTACAAATTATAGGGAATCCCTGGCTTTCACATTAGGGCAAAAATTGCAAGATGGGATAACTCATGCTCAAGCCCCTGGATTTCAGAATGTTGCGGTTTCTAGAAATAATCCATTACAATCCGAAAGATCTTATTATGACATGAGCTCCTCTGGAACTAATGAAATTTCTGGGATACCAGTCAATTCAAAGAAGTATCATAGCTTACCAGACATATCAGGGCTTTCTGTTCCTCATCGGGATCTGTACATGTATGAGAAGAGTGCTCAGTGGGATAGTTCCATTGGATATGGGTCATCCGTTGGTAGGAAAAATTATGAAACATCCATGTATTCAAATGCTGGCTCAAGGGCAGGAGGTCCATTGGTCTTTGATGAGCTTTCTCAATCAAAGGGTTACAGAGATGCTTTGCCATTACAGTTGAGTTCAAGTTCAGACAGTGGATCCCTTTGGTCTAGACAGCCTTTTGAGCAGTTTGGTGTAGCTGAGAAAAGATGTACTGCTGGTAGTGAGGCATTTGGAAGTGGGTTGAACTCAGTAACTCAGAAAACTGCTTCTGGTGTGGATTTAGAATCCAAGCTTCTTCAATCTTTCCGAGATTGTATAATAAGGCTATTAAAATTAGATGGGTCTGACTGGTTATTTAGACAAAATGACGGGGCCGATGAGGATTTAATTGATCGTGTAGCAGCAAGGGAGATGTTTCTTTTTGATGCTGAAGCTAAACAGATAAGCCAGGTTGTTCACACGGGTGAACCTCAATACATGTCTTCTGAAAGGAGCTATGGTTCTACACCAAAGAGTGACGAGGCAAGTTTTGCCAATGTTTTAATTTCATCAATTCCTCATTGTGGGGAGGGCTGTATTTGGAAAGCGGATTTGATCATAAGCTTTGGAGTGTGGTGCATTCACCGGATCCTTGATCTTTCACTGATGGAAAGCCGACCAGAACTGTGGGGAAAATACACTTACGTGCTTAATCGTCTCCAGGTATATTCTTTGAAGTCGCTTCCTTATCTAGTTAATGCATGTATATATTGCTTAAATTGTTAACTGATCATCACCCGTCTAGCAGTAAAGTATTAAGGAGTGTTGTTCTCAGGGTACTATTTACATAAATGGTTTCTTTTGGAAGTTGTCATGTTTGATTCATCTGTTGACTTATTGATCAAGATTAGTCTTGCTTTGCAAACAGTTATGTCGTTTTAGTTTTTCTGACCGATTGCAAGTGTTATTTCAGAGAGCCTATGCTTGATAGCTGATTTTATGGAACTTTTGTCTGTTTGGGCTGAAGACTTTGTGATACCTTCTTTTTTTTTTTTTTCGTGGTTGTTTCTCCTTTATTTTGATGACGTTAACAGGGTGTCATAGATCTGGCATTTTCAAAGCCTCGAACCCCAATGTCACCATGCTTCTGCCTTCAAATCCCCATGGAATATCAGCAGAGGTCAAGTCCTGTTTCAAACGGAATGTTGCCCCCAGCTGCAAAACCTGGTAGGGGTAAGTGTACCAATGCAGCTACTCTCTTGGATATAATTAAGGATGTGGAGATTGCTATATCTTGCCGGAAAGGTCGAACAGGTACTGCTGCTGGTGATGTAGCCTTTCCGAAGGGAAAAGAGAACTTGGCATCCGTCCTTAAACGCTATAAGCGAAGATTGGCCAACAAGCCAGTTGTTACCCATGAGGGGTCTGGATCACGCAAGATTCAGACATCAGCTCCAATGTTGGCTTCTTACAGTTCATAGCTTTTATTCCAGTTTTCCTTGATGGGTTCACGGCTGCTGAGCTGTTTGATTTTCAGAGGCAGCTCATGCGCTTGCTCACTTCTCACAGGACTTTCAAAACCAAGCTCCTCTTTCCTCCTCTCATGTGTATTAGAAGTCAGAGCTGCAAATTTTATTTCCATGTATGTTATATATAAATAGGATAAAAGTTTACTGGATGTGTAATTGCAGCAGAATGAATGAAAATGAGTTGGAAGAAAGGTGGAAATTGATCTATAGCAAATGTCATCTCTCTGGGTTTTCAGTTTTTCACTTGATTTGAATTGTCATGATTGAACCAATCTTGTTGTACTATTGCTCTAACTTGGTCTGCTAATCAGGAAAATTAGTGGCTGAAATTTGGAGTAGTGATTTTTAGAGCTTACCCGGACGACAAAGTTTAATAAATAAAGGCAGTAGGCCTGGACTAGTGGGGAGACACGTGGATGATTACGCAATCAAAAGGCTAAACCAGACCCCACAGCAGTGATTATATCTTTTTTCAACTCAGTTATATGCTGCAGGTGATTATCATCATTCAATCGTATTTGATACTCATAATTTACCGGCTTCCACCATCTCCTCTGCTTAAAAGAATAGTCAAAAGAAGAGGAGACAAGCAACTTTTAAGTCATTTTCAAGAGTTGCATAGCCCTTCCATTGAAATTTGGTTACTCTTTGCAAGATGGGTTATGTTCTAGTGATATCTTTTCCACTGATCTTGCTTATCCTGATCCTAGCCCTTGCATTTTATCTTCTTGGTAGAGCTCGGGGTCGTAGTGAAAGACCTGCCCAATAGTTTGGGCCACCTGCACCACCAGCTTCAGCTCCAGCCTCACCTCCACCACCCCCACAAGGAAAATCATCCGAGGTCTAGAATTTCTGAAAGTTTGGCTTGTATAATGGGTAATAACGTTTAGGGTTTCATGTTACTTTGCTTAATATTTGATTAGTTCTGCAAAATTTCAGCTTCATTTTGTATGATTCTTAGTTTCCATTGAATAATATTTTGAAGCATTTCCAATTGCCATCATTATCACACAATTTATACTAAAAATTCCATCTTTCAAATCCAAGTTATCAAAGACTTGATCAAGGAAGCTCCTTGTTCTGATAAAAGATTCTGAACCTTCCATCCAATTCAAGAACCAATTTGATGTTAATTGGCAAACGACAAAATTTCAGATCAGTTAAATTTGATTCTGCAACATATCTTCTTCTTTTTGAATCTGAAATCTGAAGCATTATCATCACCTAAACAGGGAAACAGAAAAACACTAGATGACTGCGAGTTTACGCTTGTCATCATCCTGCTGTGATCAATAACAGATGCGATGCCCACATTGGTTCCATCTACTTCAGCATCAGTTCTACCTTTCTTGTGTTTTTGTTCAAGATTGGATTATCCATTGTTGATTCCTATTCCACTGAACTTGCAGTAATGAACATGAACACATCTTTGCCTCGAACTTTGCAATTTTCGTTATTGTACTCGTCAAAATCTTTTTTAACAGGGCATCACAATTCATGGCTCCTCTTTCAACTGTCCAAATTTCAGTCTTCTCATGATCCTCTATGTGGTAGATACAAGTCTGAAAACATTACTGATGACAAGTCAATTCCACCACTGAGCTCAAGTACTTGCTTCAGCCAGGGCCCAGGGCATCAATGTTTCTGATAAACCTCAAACCTCCATGAATTACATACATGATGAATCTATGACTTTAACCCCAATAATTCATCCACTCTCACCAGGAAACTGGCGCTGGAAACTGGGTTTTAGCCCCAGGCTCCCAGCACCAACATATCCATTGAAAGAAGAAAAATAAAACATGTAAGAAATTTGAAGTTTTGACATTATCTTGTAACTTTATAATCAACCGGACGTTTCATATGTGCACAGTACGGAAACAAAATTTTTTATACAGTCTTAAATGAATTAAACAACCAACCAGTGCTGAATTTTGAACTATGGATTCGGAGCTAGCTAGTAGCTGGTAGCTAGGCCGAAGTCACATGAACCCCAACCTCCAAACCTAACACTTTTTCATGTATAGTTAAATTAGTATTATCTCACATGAATTATATATTAAATATTAAATAAATCCCTCAATTTATTTTTTAATTGATTTTAAATTGAATTTTTAATATGATATGAGTGTTTAGATTTTATTCTATTGTTTTTATCTGTTATTTTTTTATTGTACGTGATGAAAGTCTATTTAAAAGCATTATTATCTCACATCTATTAAATATTTAATTTTTTATAATTTAATATTCAAATTAAAATTTTCCTCCAAATTCTAATAAATTTTAAATGGAATGTTTATCCTATTATTAAGAGTATTTTTAGGTCTTAAGAATAAATTGATCCTTTTCAATTTTTGAACCTATTTGACATGCATAATGCCATGTCACCTTGATTATATTATTATTTTATTTTACGTTCATATTTCACTTATAAATAAAATTATTCAGATATTATTTATTTATTATATATATTATTTTTTCTTTTTTATTTTTTTTTATTTTAACCTCTAACTTAAGCGTTGAACGCAAACATAAAAATATTTATTATTTTTATCTTTAATCTTTTTTTTTCTCTTATGTGATTTCAAGAATAAGAGTGACATGCGCTATTATTTTATCTAAAAATATATTAAATAATCTAAAACAGGTACTTAGTAACTTGCGCTAGTCTTTCATTCATTCATTCTCATATAGATCTTCTAATTTTATATCCTGAAAAGTTACACTTGGTATTCAGGTTGGAAAGAGCGTATTTGCATCTAGATTTACTATGATTGCCTATAGCATGTGCAACATAAAAGTTTTTTTTTGTTATTAAACTATTATTAGTAATCTATTGACAAAAGATTGATTGATTCGACTCAGAGTAATTACATTTAAATTTTATATATTGTTATTTGTTGATGTCAATTCCAAATGTATGATTTTTATAAGACATATCACATTATGTTTTAATTTTGAAATGAACAATCTACCTACTCGAATTTTATATGCTAAAAGATTTTGCTTTAATTTAAATAATTAATATTATAGAATCATATATATATATATATCTTGTTTAATTTAACATCTTAAAAAATATAAATTTAATAATTTAAGATATGATATAATGATACTATATGAAAATAAAATATAAAAATGATATAATAATTATATGAGTTTAACAAAATTAAAAATTTTTTTTTATTTTTATGTTTATATGAATTATAATATAAATTTTATATATAATATGAAACGAATATATAATTTTAATATTTTATATAATAAAAATACATAAATTATCGTATTTAAAAAAATTATCAAACATTAAGATTTCAAAAACTAGTTACCGTCAAGATGAACAATCTTAGATAATGCAATAATATTGCTTTGTTTTATTTAAAATATAAAAAAATTAAAAATTTGTACAATATATTTCTATTTCGAATTAAAAAAAAATTTTTTTTTAATCTCAATTTAGTAAAGCATATGCGACTACATGAACCAGTCAGAAATTAGACAGCCAATGCAATCATTTTGTTCTAACCACTCCTTTTCAATAAATTAGAAAAAAAAAATATCTATGGTGTTTTTGACTTTTTCTTTTCTAGGGTTGGTAGGTGGGATATGAGGCCTGCAAAATATCAAACTTTTGCTTCACAATCACAATAATATTATCAGCAAATTGACTTTATATTTGATAATTGAAATTGATATCATATGAATTTTTATGTAAAATGAATATATAAATTGATAATATTTTATAATAATTAAATTTAAAGTGAAAAGAAAGAAAAGAAAATAATCAAAATATGAAAGGAGGGTATGATGTTTTCTTGGGTTGTAGCTGAGGTGCATCCTTTTTTACCTACCATTAAAGGAGCATTGGGTAGGAAGATTGTGCTAAACAAAGATTAGGGTTAGCTCAAAAAACTCTTCTGATCTACCCATTTTTCTTTTTTTTTTTTAAATTTAATTTTCTTTCATTAATTTTAACAACCTTGGCTTGATGTATAAACACCAGCATGCCTAACCATAAAAACAAAGCAGTTCTTGACCCAGACTAACTTGGCATGAAATTCTAGATTGATAAAGATAAAAAATTAATTCCTTAGAAAATTTTTCATTGCAAAAGTGTCGAAACATTTGATTGAGTTTGACGTTGGTTATTGTACAAGAACAAGACCAATTATACATCCAAATGGCTAAGACATAAGTGTTGATGTAAGACTGGATCTTGCATTTTTGTTGCTGTTTTATTTATATAAAAGAATCTTCCTTGTTGCAAAATATGTAGGCAATGGGTTAATAACAAAGGCTCTACTGTCACCATAAAATACAATTACAATCACTTATAATTCAAAATCATAGGTAATGATGATCATGTCATGTGACAACATCAGTTGATGTATATCGAGTGAAAATCAAGAATCTTTTGCTGTTAAATTAAAAAATATACATTTTTAACGTAAATGATCATTGATCAAATCGTTAATTTGTATAATTTCATGATTAAAATAAAATAAAATTGAAAATTTTAAATGATTAATCATGCAATTTACCCGCAAATGATTAGAAAAAGTTGGTGATATTATAGAGTACATATTTTTAACAGGGATGTAATTGATTTAAGCTGAATTAATATAGTAAAAAATTTAAGTTTGAGTTCGATTCAAAATTTGTTATTCAAAATTAATTCGAACTCAATCAAATTTTAATTTTTAAATTTAAACTTAACTCGAGATAAAAATCGATATACTCGAACTTATTTGATTAAATTTGGTTAATAAAAATAAACTTAATTTCAAGCTCGATTATGTATTTGAACTTGAATTAATATATATGTATAATAATAATTTTTTAATTAAAATAATTAAAATATATAAAACTTTAAAAACTTAATTAAACTCGCGAGCCATTCAAATCGAATATTAAGATGTACGAATTCGAACTCAATTCATTTGATAAGTCAAGTTACTCGATTAGATAAATCGAATTGCTCAACTTGATAATAATTAAGTCAAATTCAAATTTTATTCGAACTAAACTTAAATAATTTTTTATAATTAATATATTATTTACATATTTAATTTTCGGTAAAAATCAAGCACGTGAAGTTTGAAAAAAAAGAATTTCAACGGCTTTGAGGATAAGTTCATAAAAAGACACCGTTGTTGAAAAAAAAAGTATACCACCAACCCCTATGTTGTAAAGTAAAATATGAAGATGAATTCACGAAAAAATTTTATTAAGCTCATTTTTTAACACAAAAGATAGATAAATTTATTAATAAATGGTTGGTTCAATCTATTAAGTTTCGTCTTTTTTAACAAAGAGGTATTGCATTTGAGTTTTATTAATGATCACTTGTTGAGATCGTCTCTAATGCACGACTTGCAGTTACTTATTTTAAATTGTCAAATATGACACATTTTATTTTAACCTAAGAGATTGAATAATCTATCTACCTTCAATTTTTTTTTACAAAAAATTAAGATAGATAAATTTTTTAAATATATTTTTTAAATTTAAATTTAAACCATTTAACAATTGATATATAGTTTAATTAACAGTATTAAAAGTAATTTTGAATTTAAAAAGCATTTTTGTCATTTCTTTTATAAATTATTAACAAATAATCAAAAATATTTTAAAATTTTGAACTGATTTAATATGTTTAATATCATGTCAGTTCAATTATATCCCATAAACTTTTTTCTTTTTATTTATAAATAAAAATATCCAAATACTGTCATTTTATTCTATTCTTCTGGCACATTCTTTTTTTTTTTTTTCTTTCATCGTCCTTTATACTTCTCTTTAATTTATAACATTGAAGTACAAATGCAGAGAATACCTCGAAGCTCGGCATCATCAAGTGGGGAATTCAAAATCCAATACGCAAAGCAACAGGGCTATCTTCATTACAGACAAACGTATTATATAGGTAGACCAGTTCCAAGGTAGTAACTTGTTTGACCAAATACTTTCTCAGTTGGAATAAAATAAGAAAAAATAAAA